TGGCTGACCAAATGGATTGCGCTCACTGAAGCATTGCCAGATGTATATCAGTAGAAAGTTTAATTTCTGGACCATCTAAGGCCCCAGTTCTCTTCTTAGTTTAATGGAAGCCACGTTTCTATTTTCCAGAAACTCCTTCAATTGGCCTGAGTGTCATCACCTGGTGTTGCCTCCTATAATCCTGGTCCCAGTCTCTAGAGATCACCCAGCTCAAGACTGCAACCTCTCCTCTCCAGCCCAAAGCAATGAAATGAGTTTGACGAAAAAGCCTGTGCCAAGCGGAAAATCATTGTGTTACATTTGATGACATGTGTCTGACCTTGAACAACCTTAGGAGCCAGAGTAGTCACTGCAGTTAAGTAATTTAGTCTAAACTGCTTAATTAAGAAATAAAATTTCATGGAATTCCCTAGATTAATTTGCACTTATACTGAAGAGCATCAACATTTATAATCAATTTAAAGAGGAAATAGGCCTAGCGTATTTCATAGTTTGCAGTGAAACCTAATTGGATTCATTTGAGCTGAAATAGGAACTAGAGAGAGATCTGATATATTTTTAATTCCCCACATCTTAAGGGCAATAATGGGCATTTAATCTTTGTGAGACACCGAGTTTTAGACTTAAAATTACACAAACTGTGGGTTTTGAAGATAAACTGCTTGATACCCCCATGTTCTTACCTTACAGGGAAGGCATTTGGCAGGGCTAGATTGTAACAGGCACTCAGACAGGGCTGGCCTACATACAAGTCATGAGTAGGAGACGGGCAACAGAGGAGGGGGCCTGGGACCAGCAAGGGCCTTGTCAGCCTCTGTATGTGCTTTACGTGCTTTCTACCCAAACCTTTCACTTTGTTTTTGGCCACGCCATGCGGTTTGCAGGGATCCTAGTTCTCTGACCAGGGATTAAAGCCACGCCCTCGGCAGTGAAAGTGTGGAGTCCTAACCACTGGGCTGACACGGAACTCCCTCACTCCTCATTTTTTAAATGAGAGTGTCAGGATTAGAGTGTTTAGGAAGAGTCCGTCTGAGATCTAGGGAAGGGATTTGAGGAGGAACAGACTCAGAGTTAGAACATTTTTGAGCTCCTGTCTCTATGCTAGTCAGAGATCCTGAGATATCTGGAATTAAGACAGCAGTATTAGAAATAGAAGAGATATATTCTGGGTAATATCAAAAGAACTTGGTCATCTCCTCGGAGAAGATAAGGGGGAAGGGAGGGACGAGGGAGTGAGAGAAGACAAGAATGACATATGTTTCTGCCTGGGGTGACAGCTAGGCATCAATACATCCATACATCCATACACCCAAGTTTGTCTGGGGATGTGCTGGTTAATGCCTGTAGTACCATCCTTTATTCTCCATTGTGTCCTAGTTTGGCAGATAGATTTATATGATCACTCTAGCAGAAGAATGAATGGCAACCACACTGAGAATTCTAGGGAAGAGACTTGTTCAGTGGAGTTTTGGACGTATTATATTTGAGATGCCTTTCGTAAACTGTATTTATTCACTTACCTTCTTCAAACCTGTTTAAATCGCTCTTTTTCAATGAGGTTCACCTGACCACCTAATTTAATCCTTCAACCCGCTCCTTGACCCATCCTGATCCCTCCTACCCTGGTCTACTTTTTCTTTAATCTAACTACTTAACATCATCCGTCATACTGTATAATTTATTTAGCATTTATTTGTCATTGCCAGTAATCTGCTCTGATGGAACCTCCTTGCAGACAAGGACCTTGGTCTCTTCTGTTCGCTGATGTATTCCAACCACCTACAACAGTGTCTGCTATTTAGTAGGTGGTCAACATATATTGCTGAATGAATGAGTGTTCTGAATGAGCTCAACAAATATGTATTGAGTGCCTATTGCTTTTTGAGCTCATGCATCTATCTTAGTCAGAGATGTTCAATAAATTCCAGGATGTTCAATAGAAAGTGAACACACATGATTCCAAACCTCAAGAGAGGGTCTGGACTAGAGTTGTAAAAGGATGTGTCAGTAGTAAGCATATCATGTTTGAGCTATGGCATGATTAATACCCCTTAGTGAAATCATTTTAAGTGAGGTAAGAAGAGGGTTCAGGGCAAAGCCTAGAGATTAAGAACAATTAGGGGAAGATGTGGGAAGAAGAATTTGGATGGAAACCAAGGTAGGAGTGGCCAATAAAATAAATGCAATAGGCAGAAACGAGAAAGAGTAGTGTCATGGAAAATAAGGGAGATTAAGCAAAAATCTTTTTAAGGAGGGAACTGTCAAAAGCATGAAGTAAACCACATTATTCAAGTAAAGCCAGAATTGCCATCAAGTTTACTAGAAAGATAGTTGTTACGAAATGCTGTGGCCCTAAGATTCATGCATCAAAGGCCTAACCCCTGATGTGGCTGTATTTGGAGAAAGGACCTTTACAGAGGTAACCTAGGTTAAATAAGCTCGTGGCGGTGGGGGGAGCTAATTCAATAGGACTGGTGTCCCCGTAAAAAGAGAGAGAGACACCAAGGTTGCAACCTTACAGAGGAAAAGCCACGGGAGGACACAGAGAGAAGGCAGCCATCCTCAAGCCAAGGAGAGAGGCCTCAGGAGAAACCAACCCTGCTGACACTTTGATCTTGGACTTCCAGCCTCCAGAACTGTGAGAAATAAATTTCTGTTGTTTGAGCCACCCAGACTGTGGCATTTTGCTATGACAGCCTTACCAGATGAATGCAGTGGTCATTACTGGCACTGGAATAACAACATTTTCAGAAGTAGTAAAGGCTGATACCATAGAGCAGGAGGGTTGAGAGTGAAATGGGGTATGGAGGGTGAGTACAGTCCCATTTGTATAGAATTGTAGCTATGTGGGAGGAGAGAAATAGCCCAGGAGCCAGAGGGGCTCTCTCGAAACCCCAGGACAGCACTACTAAAATGTGGTTACCACAACTTTCCAAGAGACAAGCTGATCATCTTCATACTATAATACAGTACAGAATATAATATGTAAAATTATGCATATTGATGAGAGCATATTTTTTTGTTTTGTAACTGAAGGAAGTCTTGGGAGAGTTTTTAATTTGAAGCAGGCAGGAGAACCTTACAAGAACATTACCAATGAAGTCTGCACTCTTTTGGTGTGATTTTAGGTTCTCTAAATCAGCTGGACCTCCTAACCTAAATTATATTGTGTTGGTGCTATGCCTCTCAAGCTGTAGAAAGCTTAAGCCATCGCTCAGCTTTTTTAATGCACTTCTATGGGTTTTTTTCCCCCTTAGTGTTTATCATTGACAATTTAAAGTCAGAACTGAGTTTTTCTTTCTAGAGGACACAGTTTACTAATAGAACTTCCCTGAATTAGTACTTTACGCTTTTCAAAGTGAGTTTGCGTTCACTGTGTCCTAATTCCTCTCTCCCTCTTGGGGAATTTGCTCCTGCAGTCACTCCACATCTTCCCTGCTTCACCAATTTCCCATCATAATACCAATGCATTGTTAGTCTCCAAGATTAAAAAATAATAAAACACACCGTTTACTCACATTACTCAAGGGTTCAGTCCTTTGACTTCTTAAGTTCTCTACGAAACCCACTTCTTAGAAGGTCTCGTGGTGATTTCGCGGAGATACACATCATCTCTAAGGTGATGACTCCTAAATCTTTCCCCTGGGCTTCAGTCTGGTAAACCTAGGCATTGACAATTAACATGTCAAAAAAAAAAAGGAAACCTCTCGATTCTCAGCACCGTCTCTAACCCAGCTGTTACCACTAATATTCTACTTAGCAATAAACAGCTTAATTCACTCAGGTGAGCAGGCCAAAACTTAGCACTCAGCCTTGAAACTTCTCTTTCCCAATCCATCACCGAAATTGTGTTTGCTTAAGCTTAAAATGAGATACAATTAAAACAAAACAAAACCAACACGGTGAGAGAGTCAACTCTGAAGGCGAATTCTCTCCCATCTTCGCCTTAAACTCCCTCCCTCTCCAAAGGGCTCAAGTTCGTCCCCATAGTTGATGTCGGCTCACCGCTTGGCCGTCTGGAGGCTTCCCGGATGGCCCCAGAGAAGTGCACCAAAGGGGTGAAAAGTCTTCTGTTACAAATTAAAAGGGAGCCAGGCCTCTCAGCTACCCAGGGACGGCTCCCGAGAGGCCGGGGGCTCGGGCCAGGCAGAGCACCCCCGGACGGCTTTTCACGCACCACGGGGTCCGCCCTTGTCCTGCCAAGACCGCCGCAGTACCCCACGCGGCCCACTGTCCTTCCGTGGACATCACTCTGGCTGCGGCCACCAAGGTGCGTCCCCACGCTTCGCAGGAGGGGCTCTGTGGCCAAAGTCTTCCCCGCGTCCAGAGCCGGCCTCAGCGCCGGGCCGGGAGCGGTCCCCCAGCGCGAGCCCTCTGGAAAGGAGCGTGGCCTGGATGGGGGGCGGGGATAGGGCGTGCTCGGGGCGGGGCCGGGTCGGCTCGGACGTTTTGGAGGCTGCCGCCCTTGCTGCCGCCGTCCCCGTTCCCACTGGCCCGCGAGTAGGCGCGCCCGTGCGTCATGAACGCCGCTGGCCACGGAGAAGGACTCGGCGAGGCTTTTGATGGCGGCGGGCCGCGGGAGCTGGTCAAGGTGGTGCGCAGGGATGCGGGAGGCGGTGGCCTGGCGGCAGAAGTACTGCGGGCTGAACACTCGGTGGGGCCTCCAGCGCTTCTCCACGTGGTGCGTGAGCGCGATGCGGGACAGCTGGTGAAGGACTCTGCGCTGAGCTCGCAGCGCCCTCTGACCTCGAAGGTATGCCTTTTGGTGGGTGCGTGGCTCCTACGGCTTGTTGTGGCCAGTAGGGTGTAAGCAAAAATTACAGCTGCATCGAGTTGGAGCACGTAATTGCTGTTACAAGACCCTCCTGAGTATACTCTTCCCACTGCCACAGGGACTGGTATGATCCAGACAGTGGTGAATCCATCAGCCTGGGTCCTTCTGTGAGGATAAGCATGGTCAACAGAAAGAGCAGGTAGAATACTACTTCTGAGAACTTTCCAGACTAATTTTGCCCTCCTCAGTAAAGTGAAATGGGGCCTCTCTCCTAAGTACTCTAAGATGAAATACTTGCTCTGTCTTGCAGGTACTCCATCCAGGCAGGGCCTCGTCCTGAGAAGGGGCCTGATCTTCCCATCTGTGTAAAAATGTTGGTTAAAATTGTTTAAGCCACAAGAGAACGTTACTTCAGCAAGTACTTATATGGTTTGCAAAACTTCAGAAAATCTCCAGGGCTTCCCTGGTGGCACAGTGGTTGAGAATTCACCTGCCAATGCACGGGACGCGGGTTTGAGCCCTGGTCGGGGAAGATCCCACCTGCCACAGAGCAACTAAGCCCGTGCGCCACAACTACTGAGCCCATGTGCCACAACTACTGAAGCCCACGTGCCTAGAGCCCGTGCTCTGCAACAAGAGAAGCCACTGCAATGAGAAGCCCGTGCACTGCAACGAAGAGTAGCCCCCGCTCACCGCAACTAGAGAAAGCCTACGCGCAGCAATGAAGACCCAACACAGCCAAAAATAAATAAATAAAATAAATAAATTTATAAAAAAAAAAAAAAAGAAAATCTCCAGAATCTGGGCCCCAGAATACTACCCCTCCAGTCACTGAATAGAAAATAAAATCTTCATCTAAGAGACACCTCTTCTTTACGAAATCTAATTGTACAAAGTGATATTTAGAGATGATCATATTAAAAGCGTGTACTCTATATTCTAAGTATTTGGACCCTCATACTCCACTTTCTCCATGGACTTTCAAGCAAGCTTTGTTCACAGAGGCTTACTTATGCTTTTTCTTTCCTCAGCAAGTGCTACCATATGAGACCACCCCGATGTACACCCTACCATCCGAATCAGAGTTACTAAATTGCACTTTGTTATCAAAGGTCTCTGTAAGCACTGTCATACGATTCTTCTGCATCTGATGTGACATAGGGGCTGAGAATTTTTACTTTTAGACCATATATGTCCCCATTTCAATGCAGGAAATCTCTTCCCAAGTTTGATAGGAAGAAAAACTTTGTCTCCTTGAGGAACAAAATATATTAAGATCTCACCATATTTTCCTCTGCAGATTGGCACCTGAGAAAGTTTGTGGGTTTTATGTTTAATTCCAGAAGCTGCGCTGATCCTTATTGTTGGAGTATTGCTTTCATCCTCTTAACTCAAACCTCTCTATGCCACCATACATTCAGACCGGGTCAACTGCATCCTCATCCCCAATGTTTATCTGTGGCCACGTGAAAGAGAACAGAGGAGAGAGAGAGTGTGTGCTGGGGCAGGGCAAACAGATGGAAGGAGGCACACCAGGAGCCAATGAAACCACATGGCATCAGACAGATTGTGGCTCAAATCCCATGTCTGCCATCTGATTGTCACAACTTACATTTACATTACATTTACAATTTACATCCTCTGTAAGCTTAGGTTTCCTCATCTGTAAATTGGTAATGAAAATACCCACTTCAAAGAGTTATTGGGAGGATCAGTAAAAATACTGAAACAATTAGTATGATGTCTGGTTCTCAGTAAAAGCTTAATAAATGGTAGCTCTCATTGTTCTTATTATTGTTATTGAAGAAGAAAGATGAGGGGGAAATTCCAGCAAATAAGTCAACAGACTCAAAATGGAACTATTAGTGAGTTGTCTTTAATGCACTTTCTCTATGATGTGTGCAAGGCCTCAGACCTCCAAGAAAACGATGACATGGTAATGTTTTTCCTCTAAGAATTCTATTTTTTTTCTCTTTTTGTTTCTTTTCCTTCTTCCAGGATTCATGACTAATTATGGCCACTGCTTTGCTCAAGTGTGTTTATTCGTTCATTGTTTTATTCATCCACCGTTCATTCATTCAAAAAGATATTTACCGTGAGTCTGCTTTGTGCCAGATACTGAGCTAGGTGCTAGGAAATAATAGAGGCAGAGCCCTGCGTTTATGGAGAGCACAGCCTAGAGAAGGAAGCAGACTAAAGGCTACTACAAAAGGTAATTATGTGCCTCCTTTTGTCACAAGCAACAGTGACCCCATGAGCTATTTCACACAAAGGTCTTAATGAATCCTCCTAGGATTATTCATCCGTAATGAAAAACTCCTAAAAAGGTGAAAGCTGAATCCACATAAGTGAATCTCTAATGGCAGAAGTTCTCTTGTGGCACCAAGAGTCAAACAGATATTTAAATCAAAAGCCATGCGAAGAACCCCTCAAATCCCAGCACACGGTTAACTCCTATTCTGCCAGAAACCAAGACTTTGATAGTCTTTGCACGTGGTAACTGTGAAACAGGGATGTTCTCAACCCCATGCCCCAAAGTGGCACTCTTCCTCCTTTCTTATAAGCTCAAGACAACTAGAGTCTGTTTTATATTTTAAAGATAAGGACTTCTTGACTAGATGAGCAAAGAAAGAACCACAACTGGAGGAACAGTAGACTTTTTTCATTCAAAGCTGAGACATTTAAACATACATAGATGGGAAATGTAATTAAATTATGAAATGGAATGTGATGATTCAAGTTGAGTGGAATTAAGTATAAGGCTGCTGCACATTAGAATCACCTGGGGACCTCTTCAAACATTCCAATGACCATGCTCCAACCTGGACCAAGTAAATGAGCGTGCTTGGGATCTGGACATTGGAATTTGTTTTTCCATTTAAATCTCCCAGGAGATTCTGTTACACAGCCAGGGGTGAGAACTACTGGAGCAGAGGAAGAGAGTCCCAGGGACTGAAGATGAACCCTGAAGCCTTGCCCCGATTTCCATACAGGGGAGGAGTAAAAATGGCAACCTGGCTTGAGACTGGTGTGAAAACAAACAGCTGAACTTGAGAATGGCCCCAGATTGGGCTGTGAGGAGAGGGCCTGACCTAAGCTAGTGCCTCCTTGTTGGGAAGGTAGAGGTAGAGGCTGGGGCTGGTTTGGGAGTATAGGAATTCCTCCACCACAAACACCCTTCCTTTAAGTTCTGCTTTAGTTCATGAAGGTTTCTTTGGATAGCTTTTGGGGAACAATGAATATTTTAATTTCAGTGAGTTTTGAAGTAATTCTTTTGGTGATATCTAGAAATAAGGGTAACAGGGGATTCAGAAATTAAAAATAAAAGACAAAGTTTTGGCCAAGAGGTGTTTTTTATTTGTTTTCCTCACGGGTCTCTCCTAAAGGAGAGAAAGCACTAACGTAATTAAATGAGGCACGAAACCTAGGGTTACCATTCAGTGCATACAGAGGCCGGGTAGGTAGCACAGGTGGTGGTAAAACTACTTATTGGGCATGGGAAGGCCCAGAGGCTCCCCTTATGTAGGGCCCTTACCTCAGAAGCTCTGTTGGCCAAAGTGCTGACTTCCAAAAAGTACCCTATGAGAAAGTGATAGTAAGTGAAAGACTGTATGTTTCTTTTTCTGTACTTTTTTTTTTTACCTAATTTAAGTAGCTTGATCATAATATACCATAATGGGTATTCTCTTTGTTGTTTCATCTGTATTGTTTTGTTTCAAAGAATATGAAAATATTTATAAGTCCTTCTATAGTTTCACTTGCATAATGTTAATGTCCCACCCTAATTTCCATAAAGGCTGGTAAATTCCCCAACCCTGAATTCTACCAAAATGAGGTCTCCAGAATCCTAAATCAAGGAATTAGAAAGAGACACATGTATTGTTAGAAGCCGTTCCAGGTAGTATTTGCAAAAAACCTAATAGTAGTCAAGGCTACTACCCATCCTGGTTCTTTGCATTGCCAAGTTTAAAGACTCTGCTATATAAGCATAAAAGCATAGCTCAGTTAAGAGTACGGTCTTTTACTTGGGAGCTGATCTGTTAGACTCTGATATAATATCATTGGGAATTACAGGAAATTGAAGAGAGTTACAGGAAATTGAATTTACCAAAATTCATCTTAAGATGACTATTACTTGTAGTTAAAGAAATATTGTCATGTCTATTTGGGGATGAGAAGGCATGGAGAGCATAACTGAGTGACAACAGATGGTCAGGAGACCACCTTGTAAAGAAGATGCTGGCAGCTCAATGCAAGAATTGATGTTAATGAGTGAGTTTCCAAACTAGAGTGTTGTCTTCGACATTCTTTTATCTCTTTCCCCTCCTCACAGCTCTTTATTTCTTCTCTCTATAAACACGGAGTAAATGTTTTTAAAACATGAGCTTAGAAATGTGTCAAATGTTAGTCTTCCTGGGCTGGCCACACTTTCATTTCCATCTCTGCCTTGAATCTTACCTTCTTGAAGCATGTGGGTTGCCCCTGAACGCTCCTTTAGCCCATTCCCAAGATTTTGCCTTCTTTACCTGTTGTGTTGGACAGATTCTAAGGTGGGTTCATCCTGCCATGCTTCCTGTCTCCTGGTTTTTATGCTCTTGTATAATCCCTTCTCTTGTGTGTGTGTGGGACCTGTGACTTACTTCTAACCAATAGAATATGGCAAAAGTAAAGGATGTCACCCCCATGATTACATTGTTAATGCAATAACATTCACATGTAATAAGACTATGACTTGGTAGCAGACCTACTCTAGAGACTTGCCTTGCTAAACTGAGCAGCCATTTTGGGAAGTCCACATGGCGAGGAACTGCAGGAAGTTTGTAGGAGCTGAGGGCAGCCTCCAACCTCTAACCAGTAAGAAGTCGGGGCTCTCAGCCCTACAACCACAAAGAAGTGAATTCTGCCAACCATCAGAGTGAGTTTGGAAGTGAAAGGTTTCCCAATAAAGCCTTCAGCTGAGAACTCAGCCTAGCTAACATTTTGATTGAAGCCTTGTGAGACCCTAAGCAAAGGACCCAGTAAAGAGGTGCCCAAACTAAAACTATGAGAGAGTAAACATGTGTTGTTTTAAGCTCCTAGATTTGTGATCATTTGTTACACAGCAAGAGAAAACTATTACATCTATCCAGAAACACAAATCAGAATGACGATAAGGGTGAGTCAAGTTGGGACTAGGTGTAAGTTGTAACACTCCATCTTATCTGTAGCATTTGCTCTGTGGTCGGGGCTTATGGCTTTCAGCAATTCATTTATAAAAGGTTTGGTCTGTGGGAGTTATCACTAACTTATAAGCGCCCCTCCAAGCTGAAAAACAAGTGGGATTCAGGCAATATGACGGCACCTTTAAAGAGTAAACATACTTTACTTCATTAAAGAAAAATGGGTCCGTGGAATTCATCACCTGTTCACCAGCATGAGGGAGGGTAGCTTCACCCTGTGGATGTTGGTTTGTTACTGTAGTTACTATAGTCAATATGAGACAGCATGAAAATTCAAGTGTTGGAGCCGGACTAGTTCATGTCTTTTGAAGGCAATTTTAAAATAGATTGATCGCCTGAAAAAAGCAAGTGAAAAATGCCAGTTAGTCCACTCAAAATAATATCTATCATCTGTGCACACTGATTAATCCCATCTAAATTTTGTTACCTACCTTTTAAATAAAGGATCAAGAGAGTCCTTGTATGTGCACACATCTTTGAAATGATGACACTGAGTCTAGCTGCGTGAGTTCCCTTTGTAGGGAATAAGTGGCAGTCCTGGATGACAGATGACATTGCTTAATAGAAATCAAATACGGGGTGTAGAAAAGAGAACTCTTAGAAAACTCACCAAATGCAAGAAGGTGTGATACTTTTACCTAGTATTCTCTATGTAGAGAACTTTAGGAACATTAACTTTTCTTCAGATAGTACTTTCTAGGACAGTCCAGAGTTGAACATAATTTATAGCCAAGGAAAGCTGGAGACATTGTGATTTAGAGTTAAATATCTGCAGTGATGATTACATAGCTAGCAATAATAACTGATGCTTATATATAGTTTTATAAGTGTGTTTGTGTTAATGACCTTTGAAATGTAAGGCTAAGATATTACATTATTTTCATTTGGAGAGAGGGAGAGAAAGAGAAATAGAGAGGGAGAAGCAGGGGAGGAGAGAGAGAGAAAGAGGGAGAAAGCCAAGATGACAAGATGAAAGTGGAGGCTTTACACTTTCTTCCCTAAGGATTTATCATCATCTTGCCCCATTTTATTAACACCTGTACATATGTGGAGACCGAACTTTTGCCCATCCACCACCCACCCAGGAACACCAAGGAGAAGGAGATTCATCAGCTTTTGTTGAGAAAATCCTGATTCTTTACATCTGTCCTCCTTCCCTAAGTAAAGTATAAGCACTAAGTTTTGAATCTTGGAGCACTAGAATTGATTCTTTGAGGAAGAAACCAGGGCCCCAAAAGGTAACGCATCTTGTCCAATAAGAATGAGTTGGCCAGTGGTAGAAGCTACCTACCATTCCTGAGGTTTCACTCTCTTCTAGCCACATCACACATATCATCTTTAATGCTTCCAAGAAGCTTTATGCATTTAAGGAAACCAAAGCTCAGAGAGATTAAGGTACTTGCTCATAGCTGCACCATTAATAAATGGAATATGAGGGATTTAAAGCCAGGTCTGTTTAATTCTAAAGCCCATAGTCCTTCCATTAAAATAGGCCACTTCTTGAGAATCCAGGATTATTTTTAAATTCCCAGTTATAGCAACTTTCTTATCAAGGAGTCTGAGCCTAGATTTCTAAGTCAAAGGGAAAGTCAAAATTGGTCTTTATCTTATGAGGATTTATCTAGAGATTGTTTCTCTTACACACATAGCTAGAGCTTGGGCTTGTGAGAAGATAAGACAGCTGCTCTCTTGTGGAGGAGTCTGTGTGTGTGTGTGTGTGTGTGTGTGTGTGTGTGTGTGCACACGCATGTGCGCCTATACTCACATGTGAACACATGGTCCTACTATAATAGGTGCAGCAAAAGTTGTATGCTCTCTCTGATGTTTCTGCATAGTGATGTATTTTTATTTTTTGGCATTTATATGAAGTTCAGCTTTTCGTTGTCTCTACATACAGGCTTTCACAAGCAGCGTTAAAGATGCCTGTTGGAAAGTTACAGTGACCACACAATGGCAAGCGTGAGATGTTTCAGTCCTGGCTAGGCTGCTTCATTAGGGCATCAGTCTGTCATGGAGCCTCAGCTTCCTGGCTGTTTCCCCTCAGGAAAGGCAGTGGAAGTTCACAGGCACTGAAGAACCCCATCAAAGACACCAGACTTTGGGTGGAGCCAGAGTATAACGGGGCATGGTTCAATGTGACAAATGGAAGCTTTCCTTGGGATTTCAAGAACAGAAGGTGCAGATAGACACAGTAGTCTCTCGGCCATGCTTTATTGAGCCAGGGCCCTCGGCTGGATGGATGCTCAGTAGCAGGACGTCTGTGCAGTGAGAATACAAGCAAAGGATGCTTGGGCTTTGCTTGGGCAGGTGTCTCCAAAGGGAGGGGGACATGACTCATGACACTTGAGCTAAGTTGACACTGCTGCCATCACCCTCGGAAAGCAATTTGTGGGCAAAGATCTAGGCTGTTTATAAAAAATTACATGAGCAGCAGCTTTAACCTCAGGAGGCTTCATAGGGATAGATAAAAAGGAGGATTACAGAAGCTAAAGCTTTTGTTTAAAGAGAGATTACAAAGCATTTAGTTCGGATCAAGCCGGCCTAAAGCTTAACTGCTAAAATGTGCCCCTTTTCTCTGCTCTGTCATGAGTTTTGCTCTTAAATTTAGTTCTCAAATGTGAAGATGAAGCTCAGACTTTATTTGGAATGACTGCAGATTAGGTTGTTGGTCTCTCTCCTTTCTGTTAATATGAATTCAGGAAACATGAGGATTAGAAGAGATTCTAATCACTTGCCCAACATTAGTTTTTCTAGTAACAAGGGCAAGAGATTTCTAAGTACTTGAATGTGAAAAGGAAATCACGCAGCAGATTTTCATAAAGTTATGGTTTCTGTGTTCGAAATTGTCCAAAGTATCGACTGCCCGAGTTAGGAAAGTAAAAACTATAGGTTTAAAAACAATCTATTTCCTCCTTCTGAGACTGAATTGGATTGACTGCACGGCTGATCCAGTGATTGCAAAAGCCTACACGTTCAGGAGGTGACTTTAAAAAATGAGTTGACTAAAACTCAGACAATTTGTCAACTATTTGTAGAACTGGCCTTTGTTCAGCTAGAGATCATTCCCGATCTTCTCTATGTCAGGGAGCTTTTCTGCTTCAGTGAATCTTTCCCTTCCTTTGGGAATTAAAATCTAAAGAAAAGTGATAGAATTCCAATGGAATCATATACAAAATTAGCACCTGGTGAGTCTTCAGGAGGTTCAGCTGAAAAATTGAAAGCAGATGGCCCTACAGGAGGGGATTCTGTTGCTTCTGCTTTCAAAGCACCTTGAATGGAAGCCTAAACAGTCAACACACCTGTGTGTCATGCTGATTTCATTACCATACCTTAGTGGCTGAGAAAAAAAAAAAAGAAAGCTTTCATAGAAAGTGACTCCATATGCTCTAGATTCCACAGTAGCAGAAATCCCTAAGTCAATGTTATTTTTTGCGTTTCTTTGGAAAGCATTATCCTTAACAGGCTGGATGAAATGTCCAACGTTCCATAAGTGTTTTCACTATGAATGAGATGGGGCTTGGTGATCACTTTTTATTCAAACGATATTTGTTCACGTCATCTACATACTAGGCACTGGTGGTGCATGGAGAATATAAAAGCACAATACCTCTTCCCATGAAGCTCGTGAAATGATAAAGGAGTAGTTCTCAAAGGATGGGGGAGGGGGTAGTTCCTGGCCCAATATCTAAGAGCACCTCATAGGAATTTGTTAGAAATGCCATTTCTCGGTCCTGACCCCAGACCTACTGAACCAGGAACTATAGTAGATGGGCACATCAGTATGGCCTTAAAAGGCTCCAGGTCATCGGATGCAGGTGCCACTGAAATGGAGAAACCAGGTATTGAATTAAAATTACAATGTTGGGAATGTAACAAGCAAGAAGAAAAACCTACTGTGGGAACTTAGAAAAAGTAGAGTTAACTTACAGACAGCATATTATGCGTGCTAATTTTAAAGGCGTGAGGTCACTGGTAGTTGGAAGTAGAACCGATATCTTCCATAGCAGCAAAACTTCCCCATCATGTGCATTTCCTACTCTGTAAGTATAATCCATGACTCTTATGGTCCTTCAATGCTATATGGCATTTCCTTCCACTCCAGGTTCAAGTCAAAGCTCCAGAATCACTGATAGGGGTGATACTTTTTACTGGGAAGCGATGAGGTGTTGATCCTGTCCCAGGGTCTGGTGAAAAGCTATCCTGACAGCTCTATTCCAGATTAGGGAAGTGGAACACGGGTGGAGCCCTCCTTGAGGCCCTTGTGAGAAGCAGAAGCCCTGCTGCACTTACTGTCGCGTTCTGAAGCCCAAGTCCTGGGCTCTCTATGTTACACAGTCTGGGCTTTGCTAATAAATGATTTTAGAAAGATCACATGATATGAGGTGATGGAAGTACTTGCCTTTACGTCTAAAACACTGGTTCTCAGCCATGGCTCTACAAATAAAGATCACTCAGGGAGCTTTAAAAACGTACGTAAGCCAGGGATTGAATTCCAGAGATTCAGCTAATCTGAGGAAGAGCCCAGGCATCATTATTTTTAAGGAGATCTTCAGGCAAATCTCACATGCAGCTGGGTTTGAAAAGCACTCAGCCTTGCAACTCAAATTGTGGCTCATGGACCAGATGCATCACGTCATCAGGAAGTTTGTTAGAACTACAGAATCTCAGGCCCCAACCCAAGCTTGCTGAACCACAATCAGCATTTTAACAAGACCCGCAGCTGATTGCTAAGTGCATTAAAGCGTGAAGTGCTGGTCTGAAGGGTTTGTGATTGATTCCTCTCTTGTGAGGTGTCTGTTCTCCTAATGTGAAATCATAGCACATACATTATCCAGCACAGCCTGAGTGTGATTTGGTATGCCTCAGGTATCTGTAGTTTGTCCTGAAACATGTACTTTTATGTGGATTAATGCCCGAGAAGAGTTCTTTGAGCATACGGAAACATTCACATCAGAAGATGCTTGTTTGGTTTAGGGGGCATATACTGATATGGTCTCATGGCCATTCTGGGGGTGATTTTAAGAGCAAATTGGAAGTTTCCTTTACAGACCTCACACGCAACTTGTAATTCGAGGAACACTATACCTGGTAGTATGCTCTGTTGTATAAGCAACAAGGTACTGTCTAAGGTTAAGTTATTGATTTTAATGACTCTTACAGTCATGTTTATCTTTACAATAACTATGTAAGTAAAGTATTATTATGACCATTTTTGCAGAAGGCAACTGAAGTCCAGAAGGGTTAAATCGCCTAAAGTCACTCAACTAATAAACGGCTAAGTGATAATTCAAACCAAGCCACGGAGACAGCAAAAATGAAGATCTTTTCATTATTCCAATTTGATTTCTTTAATCCTGAAAGCTTTAGTAAAGCATCATTCTTCTCCTTTATACAGCGTCTAGAATGTACAAATCATTCACTTCTCTTAGTATGAATATCTTTTCAAAACTGTCCATCACCTGCCGAAATGCCAAATCATCTGTATTTAGTCCCATCATGGCCTTCATCTAATCAAAGTGCTTATTTTGGGAGCAGGC